CCTACAGTCCACCAAAGGCCATGCAGTATCTCACACCCCAGGGCACAGCTGACTAAGCACTTCCCACTGAGCCTTTCCTCACCAATTGAGAAAGTAGCACCAAGCTGAGATCTCTGCCCCAAAAATATAATTAACAGAGCTGCTCAGTCTAATCTCAGACAAAATAATTCCAATTATTTATTTATTTATTACCATTTTTTTAACCTTTTTGCTACAATTACCATAATAACTAAATCTAAGAGTTGTATTTCTATACTTTAAAATTCTGCACTTATGGTTGCATGTTAAACCTTAGTCATTTGAATGTTCATAAAAGTTATAGATGGTATAATTAGAATTACACTTAGAACGGAGCCTAGATAAAGTTTTGCACCTTTTTTGGAGTTTTAGTTGTTCAGAGCAGGGAACCGCTCTGTTGCCTCTGCAATATAAAGACAGCATCATCTGACAGAACAAGGATATCTGTATTTTTTATTTTAAACTTAGACCACAGTGTCTTTGGTCACTAAGGCTAAATATAGTAATCTCTTCCTGAGCAGTCTCCAATTTCTCGCTCCTTTCCCAGAGGCAGGTGGAGCAATGACGAGGAAAGGAAGAGGAGGTGTAACACAGAGTCTTGAATAAATCATTTCTCTACATTGACCCATATGGACTCATAGGGGTGTTTAGACTTCTGCACTGCCCCTTACTCTATATGGTATTTAAACCCCTCCTCTACCTTCTTCTCTTTCTCATTCGAATGACAGTTCAATCTGGATCAATTTTCATCTGCCCTCTATGACTGAGACCAACATCCTGGTACCCAGAAATAGAGCATGCTGTTCTAAAAGTGTTCTAGAGCACATATTACTGTTAGCCCATTTGAAAAAAATGCACAGGACTTAATTTACACCATGTTTAAATTAACCGCAGGGATAAAAATGCATTTCTGAAGACTTCAAATTCATTCCTGATCAGATTGGTGTCTGGTTCCATAGATTTCACTATGATTTTTGTCATGTGCAGTGCACTGGAGCTCACTTATGCATTCCTAACCAGAAAATGTGTATATCTATATATATGCTAGGCTTCCTGCAGTACTCTTGGAGTTTTGTCTTTGTCAGCATATTCTGGGTCTTTCAACTCCCTTCAGGGCTCTGAAGCCTAGAGTCCCGTTGCTTAGAGTGGCAACCCCCCTAGGTGAGTCTGCCTTTACAACACCTTCTAAACCACTGGCAGGTGAAATATGATGACAGCTTCACACCACTGTTAGCTGTGTCTTTATCCATTTCTTTCATTTTTTTGTGGGGTGTAGTTGAGGTATGGTGATACAGTGTCCTGGTGGGTTCTCAGTTGTCCAGGCTGGGGTCAGCATTGTTTCTCCAGGCAAGGACAGCTGGATCTCTACATTGAGACGTGGTCTGATTGCTCATCACTCACTACCTCCTTACCTCGCTTCTCATATTCTAGGATGTGAATAAAAAAAGAGAGGGCTATTCCCAGCTGCTTCCGTTATGGATAAAATCTTCACCAAGAGGACAGACCAAACCACATTGCACTTGTCCTGCCTTGGCTCAGATGAAAGTGAGCCAAAGCTGTCAACGTGCTTCATCAGAACAGTGCTGCGGAATGGCTGGGGACTGAGATTTATGAGGCTGACTAAGATAGACACACTCATGGTTTTCCACTTCCATTTGCTTAACATCCCTTCTCCTGGCACTGTTTATATTTGACACTCCTTAACAGTGAACAGAGGGCACTTCAAACACTTAATCTAAAGATGATTTGTCCTTGTATTTCTGGATGGCTTTTGTCCTACTCTCCTTTCTGATAAAGTGGCTCTGGGATAAGGCCAGCCACAGCTCCCACATGGAAATGATGATCAACCCAAATACATGGACATGTCTCCACACTGTCTTCCCTCTTTTCATGACTCATATAATACTAGTTTATCATTTACAAAAAACTAAAATATCTCAGATGGGATATTTTAGAAATACACCAGGGGAAAATACTCTCTGATATTCACACTGATCGCACAGAAATTCTGGATAAAATATGCTGTTTCACATTGTGTGTGAAGAGTTATACTCCTTAAATAAAAATGGAAAGAATTTTATTTCCATAGATCCTGTCAAGCCATTCATAACACTAATGCCATGATAAAGATGACAATCAGAAAGGAAGAACTTAAACAAAATTTTTATGTAACACTAAGCATCCCTTTAGTTAATAGGTTTTATGTGTGTCTGTTGTTTTTTATATTTAGGTTTTTTTTTTTCATTTAGCTAACATGGTTACAGTTAAGGTTAGGAAGTGTGACATCTTCTTAATATGAGGGGGTCCAGTGGTGTGACATGCACAATTATTGTATTTATAAAAATTACAGTTTTGTTATTGTTACTAATATGTATGCTTCTAAGACAAAGCATCTTAAAATCTTTGGTTTTATGAAGACCTTTAAATTGTGTTTTAAACTTATGAATTGAGACAAACATGAATGCGTTACACTCATCCCTTCTTTTCAAAAACAGTAATGAAATATTGTTAGTCTGTCTTGCTCTTTAGTCTGGACATTTTCCCAAGGACTTCAGGAAACTGAACTCCAACACCAAACACATTTAACTTACCCTCAAACAATCTAGAATTTTGTGAAGTTTACTTTATGCAAATAAATCTGATATTTTTTTGTTAAAAAGGTTACAGTGTCTAAAAATATTTATAAAGAAAACATACTGTATATTGCAACTAAGTTAGGTTTGCATAACAGTGAGAATGGATTTAAACAAACTTGGAGAATTTGATATCATAATGCTTAATAATAAATCAGAAAAAAATCTAGAAGTGAGAATTCAACACTAATACAGCAATAAATAAGGCTGATAAGGATGGTAAGTGAAAAATTTTCTATTTTAGGCTAAGAAAGCATTTTAACTATATTACAGTTTCTAATCCTAGAAATGTAATTTCTATTCTATCCAGTTATTTGTGGATGAGAGTGAGTGACAAATAATTACAGGAGATGAAGTTGATGGGTTAAAAGAAATACTCATTGTATGAAAGTCTACAAATCTCTTTGACATTTGTATATTATTTGGAGCCCATTTCTTTACTAATTTAAAGAGTCATGGTGATGTTATAGTGTAACTATCCCACAAAAATTCTTAGCTCTAAATCATCTCGTTTAATATAGTATCTTAATTTCTCACAAAAGAAAAACACCAAAATATAAATTCCTCCCCATTTAAGGTAACAATGAGAAAGAAATGTAGCAAGTGATCTCAAAAGATTTTATATTCAATTATCTTACCCAGCCTAACACCCATTTTCCTCAAAATATCCCACTTAGATATGAAGATTTTATTTTCAATTAGTTGGTACTGTGCTAGAGGTGCATCTACCTGATCCTTCCACACTTTCTTACTGTTTAAAAAGGCCTATATGTGTCCATATAGCAATTAGTATGAACACAACATTACTAAAGTATTTAGGCAGTTTGATTGAAAGGAAAGCAAAGCATGCATGAAGATAGTGTGTTACATTTAGAAATTGCAGTTAAAACAAAAGCAAAACCAGATGTATAGAAATACTATGGTAAAAAATTTAATTTTAGATTAATCCAACGCATAATGCTATAAAACATCATAGTAAGTTGCTTATATTGTTTAGGTCTGAAACATGACGATCAACTAATCGATCTTGACCTGCTTTGCCAACTATAGCAAAGTCAAGGAAATAATCTAGTGTTTATCTGACCAGCAACTACCGCATGATTAAGAGATTAGTGGCACCAAATCCTAACTTTGACTTTCAAGTTAACTGGGATTAAGAGATATTGACTTTATTTCACTATATCTACTAATACTTGTCATTGGAAGATTTTCATAAACTTTCCAAGCTAACTGGTAATCTGTAGTTAACAGTACTCAGGAGACTAAAAAGTATACATACTTGTAATTTATTATCTAAAGAGAATGAAAAGTCATCAAGTGAAATATTAAGATTTCCATATGTTGTTAAAAAAAATGGCATAGGTATTTTTAATTGATTTACTTTCTCTGTAGTTCGCATAAAAAGTACATAAGGGAAACCAAAAATTGAGGACAGTTCCTACCCATTTTTTATTTATTTGATTCTGAATTTTGTTTAATATCTTATGTTGAATAAAAAAAACACACTAAAGAAAATGTAAATATTGACTTCAAAATTAATTAATCTAGAGGCTAAATTTGTTTACTTTTTGTATCTTAAACTCTTAAAAAAAGAGAAAAAAATTAAAACAATAAAAAAATACAAAATGGGTTCTCAATCTAACTATAGCTCACAAACTGAGAATGGATATAAACCATGAGTTTAGAAGATCACTGCACTTTCAGTGAAAAATATTGCTTAAGGTCACATATTCTCTACTTAAACATATACTTTATCTCTCCTCGTTTAGCTACACACAGCTTCTTTTTCACAGTGCATTGATTTCAATCCAAGCAGCCTATTCTTCACTCTTCCTTTCCTTTGTAGTCCAAGATAAAAGAGAAATCTTAATATTCAATTTACATTTGAATGGTGGCTATAATCCATTAGCTGTCCTCTTGAAGTAGGGTGGCAAAATTTGATAGCCATGTAGTCTGTGAATGTGTGGGGCTTCACTTTATGCGAACTTGCAAAGACGGCTGGATACATTGTCATGTATTATTTTCACAACTGTGAAACATGACTAAGAAAAATTTCACAGAAATTCAAAATGTCCTTTGCTAATTAATATTAGGCATGGTAATATATGTTATATGTTGTTTTTTTATGCACAGCAAGAATGATATACACTTTAACACCATTACACTAAGAAATCAATGTTTTTTTAATGAAGGAAAAATACCAAAATGACTTTCCAAAATATGAAAAGCAATACATTAGAATTGTATAAACCTACAAGGACTACTCTATATTATTCTACATAATTTTTTGTAAATAATTGCATTTAAGTTTAAACAAATACAAAGAGAGAATTGGAATGGTTGTTTTACCTTAAAGAACCCAGGTCAAAGATGACGGGAGAGGCATGAAATCACAGATGCAGGAATTTTCTTGATGACCTAAAGAAGCAGATAAGATAGATCAAAACTCATCAGCATGGATACATTAATATCTTTACAAACGCACACTGTGTTACTTTGAGTTCTGACCTTAGTCCGCTCCTTCTGCCATCCTGTTTGGTGCACATACAGACCCACATAAACAATCACATTGGAACACTATGGGTGAAATTCACTCTCACCATGTCTGTCTGCTAAAAACAGTGCATGTAGCATAGGAGATGTAGGGGAATGTAAACATTTGCATTCAAATAGATTCTACAGGCACGAGCCATGCATCAGAAACACTGGAAGCACATAAGAAAAAAATTATTGTGCAATGCTCTATCAGAACAAAGGTACAAAGTAAAAAAAGAAAATGTTTTTATATCTGCTCACTTTCAAAATTGATATAAGTAATTGCTTTAAAAATCTAACATTTTCTCAAAAAGAAAACCAGCAAATTGTGGTTTGATTAAATTCTACTAATAACTTGAAACTGGAACTTTAATTCGCCTCGCCAGTAAAACACACAGAGCAAGCATGTGGTGTAAGGTGGGCTTTAACACAGTTATTTATAACCCCTATAAATGTTGCTATGAAGTAACAGCATAGGCGTAGCTTTTTGCTTATGTGCACTAATGCCAAAGCAGGATCCTAAGAAACAGTTTAGGAAAGTGACTGTTGTGGAGATGCTTTGCCAAAGCACTGCAGTGAAGGAAAGTTTAAATCACTGGAGTTTCAAATAAATGCCACACAATTCATGCCTAGACATATAAACAGAAGCAGCAGGGCTTCAGCTCATCGGATTAAAAAGACACAGATAGTGTAAAGTATTGTTAATAATATTTTAAAAGATTTAATCCAGTCTTGTCTCTTACTTGTTTATTACACCTTATATGATGTTTTCAAATTTAGGTTTTCAAGTTTATATACTGTAAACATCGAATGCAGTGTATTTTTTCCCCTACAAATTCTGACACACTTCAAACAGGCTTACATTATTAGAACATGCATTCTCACAATGTTTTTTTTGGTCAAAGTTGAATATAGTTTTTATTATGCCCATATATATATATATATATATATATATATATATATATATATATATATATATATATATATATATATATATATATATATATATATATATATATATATATACATGTATGTAAACATATATATATATAAACATATATATATATATATATATATATATATATATATATATATATATATATATATATATATATATATATATTATTATTATTTATTGTTTTGTTTTATTTTCATATCTGTTATTTTTATACACTTTTCTAAGGTCCATAGTGTGTGACTACTTCTGCTGTAACAACACAATTTTCCCATTGTGGGACAATAAATTGATTTTCTATTCAATTATATTCTATTCTATTGTTATTATGTTACATTCTAATGTTAAAATTTGTGTTAGCATACCATGTAACTGAACAATCATTTTATATAAAAAAGGCTTGAGACTATTTTGGAGTTACTGAATTGAGCTATTTTCTTTCATGATTTGAATAGTATTCAAAACTATTTAATAAGATATAGTGATAATATAATTTCCGTCTTTATTTTTTCACCTACAGTATTTCGACATTTGACAGATGATCTTGAAATTATTTTAAGTCACAGGCTCTTAGCTTGACTCTATTTACAGACATATAAAATTACTCCTGCAAGTAGCTGTACCACCTCATTAACAACATAACCGCCAGCTAGTCTTTCAAGGACAATTCTCTAATGACACCACACATTACCTCCTAATATCTAATTGAGGCAAGCTTTCTGCCACAAAGGAAAAAGGTGTACAAAATAAACTCTGATGATCGGACAAACAGATTTTAACTGCTGCATGGAAATCATTTAATTTTTATTATTCAAAAAGGTTTTCAAATAATATATCTGGTATAAGTTATAAATTTGTGCTGTCTCTATAAGCACTGGAGTTACTGATGTAAATGCTGTCTTTATGTATGGTACCATATTACTGGTAGGCATTTGAACGTCTTCTGGAATCTTCCTTGGGAATTTACCATTCCACATAACAAAAAGCAAGCCAAACATTTGCTTATTTAAATCAGATGTTGATTTATCTGATTTTCAAAGAGCTTGATGGAATGAAAACATAATCTAAAAGCAAATATTAAGCGTATAATAAATAAAACAATGTTCTCTGTTATTTCTATAACAGAGAACACTGTTAACTAAACTGAAAATGTTCTGAAGTGTTTGATAGCTTTATCACACTATGTTTATCTTGATTAAGTTTAATTGAAGTGTGAAAACAGGACACCAGAAATAGTTCAAGTCACTCTGTGATGGTTAGTGCCAGTTTAGGGGGTTAAATTAGTTTTCTTTCTTTTGTTTTCTTCTCAAAAAGGATGTGGCTGTGAGGACAAAACATTCATTATGAGTTATCCCCAGTGCTCTTCCTGCTCGACAGTGACGCTGTTTCTTTTCTGCTGAATTTTGCAGAGAGAAAAGCACATCAGCCAGGATAAAACTAAACTACACAGTATTTAGTTAAGTAAATTAAGAAAAGTTGGACAGAATACTGCAGTTGATCAGCCTTAATCTAATTTCAATACCTGTCATCCAGGTGGACGAAATTATCCCTGTAATATCGGTGTTACATTTAGAGAAAAGCTGTTCAGAAATGTTATGAACTTCAATGATGCTTAAAGGGGATGAATTAGTTACAAAATCGGTCTAAAACAGGACATGAGTAAAAGAAATTGTATGAGTGGATGAATTCACCCTGTGCCATGCCAAAAATGTGTACACATCTTAGTCAGTGGGGTATGTGCAGAGAAAATAAGCATGAGATCCCCAGGAAAGGGGATGCTCTGATGTCTTTAAGAGCAGCCTTGTGTACTGAAACTTATGACCTTTGCTCATCTTTTTTTTTTTTTATGTAGACACATACAAGCAAACTCAGTCATAGAAGTTTACACACACATTCACATGTTTTGTCTGTATAAAAGCAAGTAAACTTTCAGACAGGACAGGGTCAATTTAAAAAGAACTTAAGAACAAATTTATAAAGCATTTTAAGAAAAACAGCAATAATAAGATTTATTTTGGTACTTTTAGTACAATCAAAATTTAAACAATAAGAATACACATTTAAACTGACCTATGTTTACTTCAACTGTGTTACATTTTGTAAAGTCAGGTTGCAAATCCCCAAAGTTACATACGGGCAAATTTCTGAAGAATCTAAAGGTTGATTAAAGACGGGGTGTTTCTGCCATGTAGTTTTGTTTTAACTGAGATATAATGTAACGTTCACATATGTCCAAACGTAATGAGGAAAAGGTACTGTTTAAGTTCTTTCGGCTGCCCTGTTCTCTATTCCAATAAAGATAAATTTAAAAAATAAAAGAATCTATAATAAAGAAATAGTTTTTACTATTTTATTTATACTACTTAATGCAATTTAAAAGTGCCAAGAAAAAATATGTATGACATTCAGAGGAGCAAAGCCAAACCTCTGGGCAAAACTGACTTTTTAAATTGCAATAAGAAACAGAGAAGTCTTCTTAAGTTGGAAAACAACAAAGACCAGAGTTAGAATCCTTGAACTGATTTAATTCAGTCTCGTGGTTAATATGAAACATCAAAATACAGCAGTCCTAAAGCTTATATCAAATAGATGTAATTAGATAAATTGAGGAAGAAGGAGAGCAGCTTGGTTGTAAATTGCATGGTGTGTGCACGCTAAGACCCAAAACGGGCACAGCTGCACAGAGCTGCACTCACGATTTATCATCTCTACATCGCAGGAGCCAGTGGCCCACACCACTATTAATCATCAACAAAATCATTTAATTCTGCCCAAGACCGACTATTGTCTCAGTCTCTCTGCTCACTTGGGGCAAATCAGCTACCACAGCAGCAGCACACGCGTCTCAAATGAGATACAAGTGGTGGGTTAAAAATGCCTCTTTTTCTCCTCCTCTTGCTTTTTGGCGAGGAACAGTATGTTGGTGTGACACAATCTGCAGGTGGTGGAGAGAATTTTTTTTTTTTCATTGTCTATGTCTTTGTCTTTATTTAACTTTGTACTTGGAAACTCTACGTTATTTGAACAAAAGTAGCTCATTATGCGCTTTGTTAACCCTGAAAGAGCAGTTCACTCATGAAAGTTTTGTTTTGTGATTGTCCTTTACTCAGAGTAGGTGTCAGACTGTTACTAAAAGTGCAAAAAAGCTCACAACCCCAGTCTGAACCTGTTCTCTGACACCTTTTGTGTTTCATCAAAGTTTATCTTGGCACAAAGTTTATCCAGTTTCGAAAAAAAAGATTGTTCTGGAACAGTAAAACAAGATGCACACACATGTCTACTCCTTATTCCAGAACTTCCAAAATAACTTTTCCTCTTGTATATCTGAAAACACGTCTTTACAGCCAAGGAACCGGTGCAGTAAAATGGCTTTGCTGAAGGAGGTCAACAAAAGATGTACAAACATAGCAAAAATGGAAAAGATTTGGTCGAGCAGCGCAGAAGCTTTTCCTGCTACACCACAGTGGTGACTTATAGTGATACCTTCTAGTGCGCCCCCTCACATGCTTGTAACAGCTATGCCCTCATTGCAACCATTCGACCTGAGCACGTCCGCGTGAGGCCAACATTCAGAGCCACTGACAAACAGAACAAGGCTGAGTGAAACTGGGTAGGCCAAGTGATGACATGTTCATGACAAATACTCTGAAGCGAGGGCACCACACAGGAGCAAACAGGACAATGAGAAAGAACAAAAGGGAGAAGCAAATCTGAAACATGCAAAACCACAAGAAACTTGCATGAAAGATGTAATGAAAATATACTCTCATTCAGGGAAATGCACCCACATTTGGATCCATAATTTCAACATGCTGGCTTGAGATTTACACACATGAACACTTCGAAGCACACAAATGCACAGCACAAAGACAATAAGAGAGACTCCACAAAAACACACACACATTTTATATCAAAGGTCACAGTTTTCTATAAAAATTATAGAAACTGTCAGCTAAGAACGCATAAAATGAAGAAAACAATGAAATATGCCTTAGTTTAGAATGGAGTTAATAGATGTGTTCATATAATACTGTATGTAGAAAATAAGATGATGACTGTCAAATGGGAACACAGTATATTGCAGGGTTTATTCTTTAATTGATTAGAAGCTAAGGGTGTGGGCACCACTATTTATTTCATTTGAAATATGTATTCAAATTCCCAAATGAAACAAGGATAAGAGGTATGATGTGGTGTCCTAACATTAGTGTTTTTACTAGTACTAGAAAGCAAGGCTTCTGTCAGCCTAATGTGCCTTTCAGAATACTATTTTCTGAGGTTAAATAATGATCAATGTTTTGATTTGAAATGGCCGTTTAGTAAATTGGCAGTTGTTAGGTCCATTTTATTTCTGCAATTCATGCCTCAGTCACAAAAAATAAAACTTCTCTAAACAAGTCAAAAGACAAAAATAAGAGAAACTGAATGAAGACAGTTACATACATTTATGGCATATCTTTTAATTGTATGAAATGAAAACAAAACAGCACATATCAACATCACATATGGTTAGTGAGTGGTATTATTTTGCACAGCAAAATATATTTAGATATATATATATATTCTTTATATAAGAGGAAAGAATAATTAACATTTTTTTTTTAAGATTTATTAGCGAATGGTGTTTTTTTACACGCAGGGTAACAATCCCTGAAGATCCAACAATGTCCAGACATCATCGATTCGAATAATAATTATAATTAGTTATTGCTTTGCAAATATTGACTTCATCTTAAGACAAACAACATTCCCTCCCTGACTGATCCTTACATATTAAAACATTACAATTAGGTCATAATAGGGAGTCAATCTTATCTTTATGAGGGATGTGGATGAACTTTTTATTTCCGACTTCCATGACAAAAGGCGAAATCCTCTATAGTGCATTTCAGTACCTCGGTTTGTTTAAGAAACAGATTTCTTTATAAATTACATACAGTTTAAATTGTATGTCTAATTTTATTAACTTAATAATTACTCTTAAAATACAATAATTAATTGTGCGGCTGAGGCCAGAGCGCACAATTCACTTCATCAATGCATGCTGCAAAAGCGTGGTTTCAAACCCGGACAATCCTAATCACTTTATACACTGGAAACGAGCCAATTTCTCTAAATGATTGTTAAAAAAAAAAGAAAAAAGATCTCCTTTGTTCCGCAATCTATGTTACAACCTGATATAGTTTGCAGCTCAGATAATAAAACTTTAAAATATCATTATTAAGTTTGTAAAAGAATGCAAACGTTGACATACGCACGGTGGGATATATATTAAAATAATAATGCAGGTTTATAGCAACAGACTAGACTGAATGGACTGGTGGTTTTCTTATAAATGTAAAGTTGTTTCTGTTTTTTTTTTTTTTGTCTTGCTCTCGCAGCAGGACCCCGCAAATAAAAGTCCCATGAAGTAATGCTCTGCGCAGCCTAGAATGGCAGCCCATGGAGAAACATTTCAACACAGCTGAAATGCACTTGTATAGATTTGAAGGGGTGGAGTGGCAATGTCACTTTTTTTCTTGAGTCGCCCCCCCAAAAAAGTGACGAGGCCTAAATTAAGATATGAATGCCATACATCCGACCAAAAATAATAAAAGGAAAATAGAAATCTTCAAACACAGAAAAAAAAAAGAAAAAAAAAATCCATACATGTCCAGCATGCAGGGCAGTTCAATACATTTTCCTAAAACAGCGTTCAGTTTGTAATGATACAGTCATTTTCGTTTCTCAGCAGAAAGAGAAACAACCGCATGAGATGGAGTGGCGTCAAACGGCAGACTTGCGATCCTCCAAGTTTGCAGATGAAAAAAATAAAATAAAAAATAGCCCATGTATGCAACTTTGACAGCAATTTTTACACTGAAATAAAATTAAAATGATGTAGAAGGGCACAATGATGAACTTTTATACTTAGTGCATGCATGCATAGGCTACTTCATGTGCTGTGGGATGTCGGGTCAACCTCAAAAAACAAAACAAACAAAAAAATGTTAATCTGATGAACAGCGATGGAAAAAAAAAAAACTTGACAAACAGCTTATGCACTACATACTGCTAATAAAAGTACAAACAAATAGATGAAAGTTTTCTCATTTTGACTCTTTGAAATAATAATAATAATAATAAAAAAACGGATGCAAACCATTTTTACATCTGAAAGAGTCACAGGCTTCATGATGTTTATTAAAAAAAACAAAAAAAAAAAACAAACAAAAAGTATAAAATCATAACAAAAACGTGACAAATGAGTTCTTAGTCTATTTGGCTTTGCGCAAAAAGACAATAAAAAAGTCTCTTAATGAAAACTTTTAATAGGGGTGACTTTTCTTTCTTTTTTTTTTCGCGTTAAGCTCGAAACTCACATGAAAAACTCCGGAGATGAAGGGTTGTTGTCACTGCTGGATCCATTTTCTCTGAAGCCGTTGCTGATGAGCTTCTCATACTTTTCCTTGTACGCGTCCCTCTCCCGGACCAGCCTGGATATCTCTTGCTTTAGATGCTCGACCTGCTGCATGAGTTGCGTTTTCTCCCCCTCCAGGACGTGCCGCTGCTGGACCCGCTTGAACCGGCAGGACTGCGCGTAGCCTCTGTTCTTTAGGGTCCTCCTCTTCTGCTTCAGTCGGATCACCTCTTCTTTGCTGACCCCCCGCAGCTGCCGATTGAGCTCCCGCACCGACATGGTCACCAGCTGCTCATCTGAGAACCGATCCTCCAGGCGCATGTGGGAGTGATTCGTCCCAGAGGTGCCGTTGGACTGGACGCTCGGCGCCTGGTGGTGGCTGCTGTTGATGTGGTGATGGTGGTGGTGGTGGTGTTGTGCCCCGTTCTGGGCAGCTGCTGCAGCGATCACAGCTGACACTACGGCAGCGGCGGAGCCCATCTCCTCTCCGGCCATGGCGCCTCCTGCTCCGGTCGCCCCGGCAAACTGCTGGCCCCTTGCGTAGCCATCGAAGGACTGAAGTTGGTGACTGCTGTTGATGAGCGCCTCGACTGCGTCTTCGGGGCTGAAACCCAGCGCCTCTGGATTCAGTTGCTGTTGATAACCGGACATCCAGTAGAAATCCTCTATGTGTGTCTTTTGCTCGCTCCCCGAGCTCGGGCTTGGCGCCGAGAAGCTTGGGGAAGGAGGCACCGAGCTGCAAGGCGTGCTCATCGGGGTGGACGACAAGGATCCCCCGGCGATAAGGCGACTGCACTGGCTGATGTTGCGATCGGGCTCCACCGGCTCCTTTTTCACTTCAAACTTCATCAGATCGAAGTCATTAACATATTCCATGGCCAAGGGACTGGTGGGCAGGTCGGAGTTGCTCATTGCCAGCTCTGATGCCATCCTCTTGCTGCTGCTGCTGCTGCTGCTGACAGTCCTCCAAACGGGGTGAAGAGCAGCTGTCAAACTGGGCTGGTTGTGAAGGACGTGAGCCAGTTTGATTTTTGTTAAGCGTTTGTTTGGAAACTAAAAATAAGAAACAAAAACAAAAAAAGGAAGAATTGCAGCCTCCCTTTTTGCGCAGCCACGTGCAAGAAGAGTTTTTCTTTGCAACCTATTGCTCAGACGCAGCGGTGCCGCGCGCACGAGCAGCGGAGTCCTCTTTCAGCATGAGAAACACGGCAGTTTGGTGTTTCAAACATTTAACACTTTGCGCCTTCTTTAGGAATACATTACGCGAGCGAAGAGAGGTGGAGGGGGAAGGAAGCCGAGAGTCTGCCTCGGACGTTTGATGCCGCGGAGTACCTAGTGGGACGGTTTTTTACTGGGATCACACAGCAGATGAGTTTAAGAGCTTTGTAGCCGCCCTGACGTAAAGCTGGGAACGGGAAATTGACTCGGACGAAGAGCCAATAGGGTCGCACACTCGCAAAGCTAATTAACATATCAGGAGCACTCAGAAACAAACTTTTTTTTTCTTTTTTTTTTTTTTTTTTTCAAATGACAGAGGCCACCAGCTGACTGTACGCCCGTGTATGCTTTTGTGAATGACATTTATTTTTAATTAAGCAGAAACTTTTTTTTCATTGGTCTTAAAGAAAGTAAATTTTGACATTAAGCATCCAAAGAGCACCCTCTGTATGAATAAACTAACAATTTGATGGTTAAAAGAAAAAAAAAATAGATAGATAGATACATATATTTTGTATTTTAGGAGGCTTTTTGCAGCATTCTGTACCTACAGCTATTAAATACTGTTTGTTTTAATAATATGTTTCTCTCAGTTAAATGTCTGTATCGTGCCATAAACTGAGTAGACATTAATTAGATTTGACATGGGGATTCTTTTCTGAGCATTATTTCTAAATCTGTCATGTAAATAATGTAAAGACTGAAGTCTGAGGTTTGTCCCGTCAGTTTTAGAAAACTCAACACTGCCACCTTTTGGTCATGTTAACCCTTCCTGCAGTCGGTTAACGTCTTCAGCGGGATAAAAGTAATTCGAATGGAAGACCATATGTGTTATTAAATAATTATAATAATAGTATTAAATACCTTTTTTTTTATTTCAATTTGCCTTTCTTCCTTTACAAACAGGTGATTCAGGAGCATTGGTTTATGAATTTTAAGACAAAGTTTTATTGTGTGCAAGACGTCATGTCCGAAGAAATGATTTCCAGTGACCCCGGTGTTCGGTTCAAACAGTCATTATGTGCAACAGTAATAAAATCTCACTTTATCTGAGCTTTGGCCCAGGCGTTGCTTTAGGTGTCATATAAACCTTTCCAGTATATTGAACTTTATCTCTGTTCAGAGGTTGCAAACTTAAAATTGCTTGTGTACAACAGGATAATAAGACAGTATGGGATCTTTTATGCAAACCCTATCTCTGAGTGTCCTATCTCTTTATAGTGGCATGCATTGGTAAAGATCCGGAGACAAGGCTATAAAGTATTTATTTTGTTATCTTTTTATGGCTGAACTTAATTCTATGTGAAGGGATAACATGAAATTGAGATGTTTTGGTTCTCATTACATGCTGGAAATATTTTTTTAAGTTACCTGTTGTTTTGCAGCTTTTTAGATTGATCATATAGTCAAACGTGAACACTGCCAAAGCCTTAGAAAGATATTTCTGAATCTGTTCACAATCACAAGGACTTTATTTGTCATTTGTATCTAAGGTTTTAAGCTCTTTTCTTCTGACCTTAAGATTTGTAGAAACTTCATTTAACTATCAATGCTTTCATTGCTTTAAGGTGAGTATAAAAGGTACAGTGTAAAGGGCCTTGCAAAATTGTTTCATTCTCCTCCTTCCGAAATTCTTTACCAAGTATCTGAAAAATATGGGGTACACCTGAATTCAGCCCCCTATTACTCTAATGCACATTAATAAAAATCTAACTTGACCAGTTGCATTCAGAAGCCTGTGAATTTGTGAAAAGAACCCATTGGTTTGTAATCTAAATGCAGATTAATTCCAACTGTTCCTTAGTTTTTTAAACATTAATGAATAAACAGCATCATGACAGACTAATGCAGAAAAGTCACGGATAGAATAATTGATAAGTCGTTTGGAAGGTCCAGTAATAAAACAATATAAAATGCATTGGACATATAATTGGGATGTTACAGGCATTAACAGGTAAAATCAAGAGTATGGCACAACTTTGGACCTAGCAAGGACAACCAAAAGCTGTTTGATCAACTTAAACACTTGTTGCAGTCAAATAATCTTATGGTAGTCCACCTGAAAACATGGGCAGTAGTACAGTATGATTGTAGCTAGGATAGCAATGTGTCCAGATGACCAAGAAGAGAAAGTCGGGTACCACTTACAGATAAATATGTGATCAAAAAACGTTGAATTTTATTTATATATATTTATAATTGCTCTGTCTATATAACCACATCAAAGAGTCACAGTTTATCAATCTCCACTGTCTCCACTGTACAAAGCAAGGCATAGCTTTTTTTCCTCAGCTGCTGCTCATACTGGGCAAATTATTTCACAATAAATAAACGGGTCTTTTAACAGCATATCATTTGTTTGGTGGTTTGGTTTGCTTTCTAAGGTGGGGTATGAAAATGATACAAACCGAAGGTGTGAAACTTTTGGCAAATTCAATTAAAGTCCTTTGCACTTTCCATGTGAGAAAGCACCCTAAATCAGAGAAATAGCAAAGAGGCTCAAAGTAACTCTGGAAGTAACGGTTAAATACAAATGCACACCACACCATAGGCTGTTATGTGTAAAAAAATTTTTAAAAAAAGTACTTAAAAAATTATTTTATGTTATCCTGGGATACAAAATCCTGTTAAATAAAAAAAAAAAAACTCTGGTTAAACATTGAGAAAAACAATACACATCGACCAAAAAAAAAATTTACATTTTCCACTCAACGTGTTTGTGATTTATAATAAAATGATTTGAAATAAAAAGATACTCTAAAACTTAACTGATCTTAAAAAAAATAGACAAACAAAGGGAAAGACAACTAATTCAGACATGAAACTGCCACACCTTATACTATGGTAAAGGACTTTAGTAATACCGTTGATCCATTTATATTTTTTGAATGTTTATGCTAACATATGAGGATCTGGTAAAAAAAAAGTAAAAGAGACAACAGTTGTTCTTATTTCAGTTTATTTGCCATGTTATCTGTTGGGCCTTACCATTTCATTTCAACATAGAGCAGCAGTCTGTCCTCCTCGGTATCGCTATACCAGAGCAAGACTAATGTACTTATAAAGGGAGAGCTCATTAGTCATTGCAGAAGAATGTGGTGAACCTTACTTTGCTACTTTTGTGCCTTTGAATTTATTAATGTAAACAAGTGTGAGATCTGGAAATTGATAGAAATGTTCTTTTTCACTGCTAAGCTGCTGCTCATTCACTGTCTGAAATCTGTATACTGTAAAGGGAATTTTGTTTTGTATACACTCATTTGGTGTAAACAAAATGACAATAAAGTTTGTCTTAGTCTAAGTCTCTATCTACTTGAAGAAAATTTTAACTGCAGAAGGGAGAACTTGTGAAACCTCGTGAGAGGACATAATGATTGCCCAATGTTAGCTATCTCAAAAAATATAACACAATTCTAGTACATGGGTCAAGATAGTTTTTATGTTTTTTAAGTAAACCACAAAAGAAGAAGATATTTCAATTTCAAGTAGCCGGTTCTGGCTACAGGAGTAGCTGGTTCTGGCTCCAGGAAGAGAAATGTCTTAGTTTCCTTCCAAGTAATTTTCTTGCCGCTTATGTAGAAAGTGATGACAATATGTTTGCTCACATCAATTTACACAAGTATGTTTTAGGTGAAAAATAGCAACTATATCTTTACATATGGTCCATAATACGCTTTAGCAAATACAAAAGGTCTTTTTTCATCTGTAAGTAATGTAAGTTACTTATTTAGTTTTCTTTCAAACATATCAGAACATAACGATAAAATTGAAATAGGAGCTTTGAGAGAGATGGACAAATCTATATTTTCTGATTGGCTTTTATTACAAATATGTGTTGTTTTAAATTGCTCTGACTTTATTATTTATTCTACAACAACAAGAAGTTGTCTTCCAAACTGCCCAGGACACTTTCTTTAATTAGAAAGGTGCTAAAAACTATTTTAAAAATCCTTGTTTAAAATAAAGTATTCTTGGAAAAAACAAATGTGTTTTACATTTAATTGGTTCAAATGATTATTTTTTGTAAATTGTGAAATTGATTCTATACTTGCATTAATTACACAAAAGTACAGTAGTTAACTTACTGGTGTCGCTACAACAGGAATCTCTGTGTTGTTAATAAAAAAGATGAACTAAGAAATGTGATCAGAGTTCACTAAGTTGTTATCTGCTTTTTAGATTGTTTTGTGTGGATGCAGTTTGTGGGGGTTACTCAGTTCCAGCTGGGACCTGATGAGTCAATTTTATCAGGTTTCTCACATTCCTTAACAGTGATAGCTCCTGTCAGCACATAGTTAACAGAAGGAGGTATGGTCTCATTCTTAGTATTATTCTTAAATAAAATAAATAAATAAATAAATAACACATAAGCAAAATCTCTGCTTTATGTTACTACAGACAGGAAAATCCGGTATTTCTAAAGCTCAGTTCAATTTCATCAACAGTCTAGTGAGAATAGCAAAAGAGGAATATCAATTTTCACCCTACTAACAGAATGTGGGCACAGCCATGCCATAATTACTTTAATCCATTAGTTGGAAGCAGGGTGAGGCTGGGTAGGGTGCAACAGAGGACAGAACAGACAAAACAAGGTCAGGAAGAGAGCACATCTGTAGTCTGAGGTCGATTTTGGATGGCCTCCCTGAGACTGATGGAAAAAATGTAGTTGCCTGCAGCCAATGTGGGCCTGAAGGGAGAATGTTGACGTTTAAAACCAAGCCAGAATCGGCTCCCAGGCGGAGGGGCAACAGTGAACCAGTAAATGTGTTACAGTGCTGCAAAGATTAGAAGTAGCCATGAAGTAGCCATGTTTTCCAGCCTGTCTGTTGTCCCTTCAAACTAATATGAGAAAAGCTAGCTGCTGTCGTATGAATGTACTCATAAAAGCCAAGGTGCTAACGATGACCAGATAACTGGATGCCCATTAACCATAAAATCCTGCAGTGTGTGTAAGGTAAGAGTACCCTATATCAACGTAAGAGTCTCCTAATAAATCTGAAACATATTGTTTGGTTATGTGCCTCGAGCAGCAGAGAGACGACTTCATTTATTGGTATTCTTCATCTTGCATTTAAGTGTGTGAGTAAAGTTGTTCTTGAATGTTGACATACTCTCCCACTAAAGATTGGACAGCTGCCAGTGAAATAAGTTGACATAA